CATTGGAGAGATTTTGCACCAATTGCAGGAGCGACGGATCGCTTGAGCGATGCGAGCGACGGGAGATTTACGAACGATGGCGCCGAATTATCGGTGGTCGGCGGTGTAAATCTCCCGTCGCTCGCATCGCTCAAGCGATCCGTCGCTCCTGCAATTGGTGCAAAATCGCTCCAATCGCAAAGTCTGACATCGGCCATTGGTTTATCAAGTTATTCACCCTGGAGTGATGGCAGGACCTCGTAGTCAAATCCTTGACGGTGTCGAAGCACATGGGCTTGGTCAACAAGGTCAATCGAATCGTTCGCCAGAAAAATTGAGATGCTCAATTTCAAATGATTTTGCATGAGCTTACGTAATATAAGATTCCCAAAAACACATTTTAAAAAGAAAATAAGCGCTTTTATGGAGAAAAATAGAAAATGTAGCTGATACTGAACTCTTCACTATCGTGGAACACACCTCATTTCCCTTAAATTGCATCTCGCCTTCCTACGTCGGTGGGCCTCGTTCATTTTGAAGGTGACATTCATCATTCGCTTACCATCGGATACGAGCTGGATGCACATAGGACGGAAAAGACTTATTGCTCCTCGGTAGCATACAAGCATATGTATCCAATCGCCAGAAAGTAAGGATTGCCAACAATGCGACTCACAGAAGAACGTTGAAATGAGTAAAGAAGATGAAAAAGCAATCATATACTATAAAACTACCAAGAATATTTCTAATGCGGCTTCACTGCACAAGTAAAACATCAAAAAGGCGCCCGAAAATTCCAGCAAACCTCAGCGACTATTGCTGGAGAAAATTTGAGAATGTTTATAAAGTGACATTTTCCCTATAAGCGCGCCGAAGTGGTTCCACTAGCAGAGTACGTTCAAACAGAACCATCTTCCGTATTCCACTTAAATAAAATTATAGCACTCTTCTATGTATAATGTATTCCAGCGATATTCATAGTTAATCGATTCTGTTAGCATCGGATACTAAGCCTGAGCTCAAGATATGCGAAACATGTAAAAAAGTTTGCGATAAGCTGAGTCGAATTCATCCTTGAATAAGAGGCTTCATTGCTTGCACTGAGCACAACTGGGAATTAAATCGATTTGCACGTCATACAAGTAACAAACGCTACTAGGAATAACAGTGCAATCCTGACGAGCCACAAGAATTTCTCAATTTCTCTATAATCAATTTTCACACAATGAATCGTAATTCACATTGAAGCAGAAGTACAAGGGCATGATTCTCGCACAGCTCATCGAATTTTCAACGAATCATTGTCATAAGAGAAAAAGATAACTCGACAATCGTGAAGAATGACAATTACGAAAGCACTACAAAAGCGGAAAAGATCCTAACCGATGGTAGTTTCATACTTTAACGCCAACAACGCTATCATACTCATGTTGAGGGCGTACCAAAGGGACCTGAGCAGTTGTGATACGGCGGCAATGAGCTATTGAGCCCCACTGGTACCATAACTGAAAACTAGAAGCGTTTCGAAAACTACCGCGTAAGGGAAAAATTGGCAGGAATTGGTACAAAAAATAGGATGGACATCGATGCGCGAGGCACAGGTACAAATGCACTGACTATTAAGATATTTAGACCTGACACGCTTTAGTCCAACTATCGTGCCAGGATATATCATTTGTCGGTTCAATAGCCAAGGTTAAGGTCAATTTCAGACTTTCGCGAAGCCTTACGATTCCATCAGTAAACGCAGAAGCGACTATTGGCAATGTGTTAACAACG